CCTCTAGGCCTGGCGCGCCCTGTGCGCGCATCTCCAGCCCATTCCCCCTGTCCCGCCTGAGACTGGGAGCGCAGGGGCCTTTCTGCCTCGTCCACTGCCCCAGCCTTGGCTTCCCCCGCGGTTGGTTCCCTCCACCCCTCTGCACCCTCTGCCGCGGTTCCCTCCCCACTGGCTGGCTGGTTCTCCAGGCTGTCTCTCTCTTCCTCCCACGCACGCACTCCCTTCTCCCTCCCCAGATCCCAGCTCCGGCCTCCCCGTGACCCTTCTCCCCCTCTCCTCCCTGAACCTTCCTCTGGAGCTCGCCCCCGGTGCCCCCTCCTGCCCTCCATGATTATGCCCACCACCTGTTTTTATGTCTAGCCGGTTCGTTTGTTTCTCTGTGCCCACAGACGATGTTCTTCCGCCCGCTCTGGGTGGGGGTGGGGGCACTTGGGTCTGAGACCCTCCGTTCTCCAGTCCTTACTGCTTTCTCCCCCGTCAGTCTCCACTCGGAGCGCCCCAGGGAGAGGGGCACCAGGCAGGTGGGGTGGGGGGTGGTCTCCTGGTGTTGAGGGATGCCCTGGGAGGAGGAGGAGGAGATTTCGGCGCCAATGGATGAAGGAGGGGGGTGGGGTGGCAGCTGCAAGGCCCAGAGAGAGGAGGAGGGGGTAAGGAGAGAGGATGCAGAGGGTGGTGAGAACATCGTTGGACATTTAGAGAGATGGGGGGAGGAGATGGACGGGGTAAGACTGGAATCAGGAAAACAAAGCCCTGGAGATGGGCAGAATGTTCATGTGAGGACACGGGTGGGCGGGTGGGTGCTGCTGTGGACAGGGAGGAGAGAAAGGCCGCCGAGGAAGGATGCTTTTTCCTCCTGAGGGGAGGAGAATGGGAGGGAGGGAGTGAGGGCGGCTTGAGGGGGCGGTAGTCCAGAGCTCCAGAGGTGGAAGGGGAAACTGGAGGTTTGAAAGTGGGGGTGTGTGTGTGGAGAAGCCTCAGGCCTGGCCTGAACTGGGAGGAGAAGCCCCGATTTTCAGAGATGGAGTGTGGGTTGTGACTTGGAGGTAGACTCTTGAGGTTAGGCATGGGCTAAGGGTGACTGATGCTGGTCTCCCTGGGGCTCAGGAATTGGGATGGAAGATGAGGACTGATCAAGACTGGGCCTGGAGGCGGGGATAAGGTCAGGGAAGGGGATGAAGGGTGAGATGGGGACCTGCCCAGAGATGGGGGTGGAGGGTGGAGGCCGTGTGGGGTGGGTTTCTTGGTGGGAGTTTCAGAGGGGGGGGGGATGGGGATTTAGGACCGAGATGCAGAATCAAGAGTGTGGGATGGGGTGGAGACAGGTGGGGGAGCGGACGGAGAGGGTCTGGTTGGAAAGTGGGCATGGAATGGGGGAAGGAAGGGGGCTTGAGAAGCATGGGGATGGGGGCTGAGGCCTGGGATTGGGAAGGAGGATGGACATGGGGACGAGATTTTGGAGCCTGGGAATAGTGGTTGGACATCTGCATTTGTTGAGCTGTGAGGGGTCAGAGGGTGACATTCAGAAAGTTTTGGTGTGAACAGACAGCGGTTTGGAGGAGAGGGGCGGCACCCTTTTGGAGAAGGAGACCCGGGCGTCTGTGTTGAGAGGCTCGCGCTTGCTAGGCTGCAAATCAATATTTGCTTGAGGAGGAAATAGGTTGGGGACCCTAGAATGCGACTTTTGGCGGCCTCCCTCCATGGCCATAGAGACGTGGCTTGTTACCCTGCCAATTGGGGAAGCCCCTCCGACCGGCCAGAAGCTGGCCCCGCCCCTAGTCTACAGCCCCTAGAGCGTCGAGGCAACTGACGTCAGGGACGTGGGCACGTCCCACTTTAACCCTTTCCTGAATGCGTGCGTGTGTGTGTGTGTGTGTGTGCGTGTGCGCGCGCGCGCGCAGGGGGTGGGAGGGAGGCTGAGACCCGGATGTCTGCTACCACACCCCCTTTCCTGACGTCCCTTGCACTGCGTAGGGTGAGGGGCGTGTGGGAGGGGAGGAGGAAGGAAGGTGATTCAGGTAGCTCCGCACCCACAAACCACATCGGGCAGGACTTGCTCTCGGCCTGGCTGACGGGAGGGTGGGGCCCAGGGGAGGAGAGGCGGGGCTAGCGAATCCCTGTAGCGGGCTGGTCGTCCGTAGGCCACGCCCACCCCGCCCCGTTGCCCTGACGACAGAGCCTCCAGGAGGTGGGTCTCCGGAGGTGGGTCTCCCCAGGCCTTAGCTGGGCTTAGATACCGTTGCTAGGCAACAGGATCCTTGGAGGAAAGGGTGGATTGGATGGCAGGTGGGTGAGAGGGAAGGAGGGGCCGGCAGCCGGGGAAACCCCAGATTCCGGGAGCCCCGGATTTAGGGCAAATGTGCGTGAAGGAGACGGGACGAATCGGGAGGGAGTGTAAGGGGGAGGGGATAGGGACAGGTGGGGACTAGAAAGGTGACTGGCCCTGGGGTATAGTGTAGCACATTAGGCACCTAACACGCTGTGGTATTACATCCGGTGAGAAGCTTCCTTCCCCCTCCCCTGAGCCTCTCCCCCCGCCCCCCCCCCATCCCTTCACCCTACTCATTACCATCTGCCGCTCACCTCTTCCGTCTGGCTGTCTCTCCCTTCCCGCTTTCATCCACCTCCTTCCCAGCCTGGGCCGGGCCGCGCAGGATCCACGCACGTGTGCAGCTGTGCGTGTGTATGGGAGGTGGCTTGATGGTGTGGGAGGGGGCTTGGCTAAGAGGCTAAGGGGGAGCCTGCTGATGGGACCCTCTCAAGTCTCAGCTCATGCAGCATATCCTGTTCTTGCCCCTCACAGGCCAACTCTCCCCCTGTGATTGTCAACACAGACACTCTAGAAGCCCCCGGATATGTGAGTTGTTTACATTTTGGTGGGAGGTGGGGTCTGTGGCTAAGGAAGTGAGGGGAGAGAGGGTGAGCCTGGTCCCAACAGTGGGCTTGGGGCAGCTTGGTGACAGGGATGTCTGTCTCACTGTGTTTGTGTTTCTGGCCCGTGCTGGAGTTGCAGGTGAACGGGACAGAGGGGGAGATGGAGTACGAGGAGATCACATTGGAAAGGGTGAGCACGGCCTCCACCCAGGTTCCCCTCGCCCGCCCACCCGCTCCCCATCTGGACTCTCTGAGCTGCCCATTCTAGGGGATCAGCCCCTTCCCCAGCTCCTTCCTGCCCTGATCACAGCTCCTCAGCCCTTTCCCCTCCCTACTCAGCTGGCCGGAAACGGGCTTGACCTTCTTCCCCTCCTTCTGCCCAGGGTAACTCAGGTCTGGGCTTCAGCATCGCAGGAGGTACCGACAACCCCCACATCGGTGACGACCCATCCATTTTCATCACCAAGATCATTCCTGGCGGGGCTGCGGCCCAGGATGGCCGCCTTAGGTGGGGAGAAGAGACGAGACGGGGGCAGGGGGCTGGTTCCCTTGAAGGACGCTCCCTGCTCAGACGCTCCTTGCTGCCCCCAGGGTCAACGACAGCATCCTGTTTGTCAATGAAGTGGACGTGCGGGAGGTGACGCACTCAGCGGCGGTGGAGGCCCTCAAGGAGGCAGGCTCCATCGTCCGCCTCTACGTCATGCGCCGGAAGCCCCCTGCCGAGAAGATCATGGAGGTCAAGCTCATCAAGGGGCCTAAAGGTAGTCATGCACCCGTTTGTTTCCATCACGACCCCCCCCCACCTACTGCCAAGGGACTGGGGCACCCACCTCTGCCTTCTCCTCCTCCCAGGTCTTGGCTTCAGCATCGCAGGGGGTGTGGGGAACCAGCACATCCCCGGAGATAATAGCATCTATGTGACAAAGATCATCGAAGGAGGGGCCGCCCACAAGGATGGGAGATTGCAGATTGGGGACAAGATCCTAGCGGTGAGGACCCCCACCCACCCACCCTTTTCCAGCCCAGACCTGAGAGGAGTCTCACCTGCTGGGCTGGCCAGGCCCAAGTTTCCTTGTCACCTTGCACATCTGCCTGGGGGTCTTCCCGTGGCTCTGTCTGAGCTCTGCTTCCCTTGACTTCAGGTCAACAGCGTGGGGCTAGAGGATGTTATGCATGAAGATGCCGTGGCTGCCCTGAAGAACACGTATGACGTTGTCTACCTAAAGGTGGCCAAGCCCAGCAATGCCTACCTGAGCGACAGCTATGTTCCTCCTGACATCACAACCTGTGAGAGCCCCGCAACCCCCTGAACTTGTCATGCCCAACCTGTGTCTCCCCGTGGCTTCCGAGCCCACGGCAGCCCTTGCTCCTGGTCACATAGACCCCCATGCCCTAACTGTGATCTCTGATAGTCCTTGGGATGGGAGCAGAGTGGAAAACCAGTCACCGAGGAAGAATTAGGAAAGATGGTCAGCCATCTCTTCCCCAGAAAGCACAAGGCCCAGGTGATTGGGATCACCTAGCTAATTGTGGTCAGCCTTTGAAGGAGTAGACGATTCTTAGGCTCTTTCAGAACACAGGAAGACAATGGAAATGTTCGCCTTTCTTCTTCTAAGGCCAGTTCACATGTGGACAAAGGGAATGTCAGACTAGCCAAGGATGGGTTCGTTTACTTACCGGTAGAGATGCAAAGATTAACTACAACCTAGTGGCAAACCAGGGAACAGCATCGTCACAAAGTGAGGTTTACCACAAAGTAGGGTCTCTTTCAGAAAAAGAAAGGCGGCTCAAAATTAGGTACCCTCTTAATTAGGATTCGCTGTGCTCAAGTGAGCGAGGAAAACAGTTAAGATCACTTCAGAGTGTGGTGGGACAGGCATGTGATACAATTAAAAAAATCTTCAGGTGAGTCTTTGTGAACTGGGGCTAGAGGTGTTTCCCTTATCACGGTGATGGAGAGTAGGCATCACAGAAGCCAACAGCAAATGTGCTGCATTGTGGTTAACTTGTAGCAGTGCGCCCAGAAGGAGGCAAATGTACCTGTCCTCACTGCTTCTGGTCCACGGTGTTTGGAAGCCATCACGGTATGGTTGACCTTTGAACTGGGAGGCCCTGGGGGGTGCACATGGTTAATGTGCTCAGCTGCTAACAGAGGCTGGAGGTTCAAGTCTACCAGAGGTGCCTTGGCAGAAAAACCAGCCACTGAAAAATCCTCTGCCCTGGCACACATGGATTATCAGGAGGCAGAATCAACTAGGTGGCAACTGGTTCTTCCAATTCCTTCTGGTGGGGACTGCCCTGTATGTGGTAGGATGCGTACACCAGCCTCCCCGGTGTTTCTTCACCAGAAGATAGTGGTAACACCTCCACGTCCATGTCAAGTCATAACAGCAGAAAAGATCTTCAGACGTTTGTCAATGTCCCATGGGGAGCAAAGCCCTCCCTTGTTGAGAGACACTGCTTTAAAGATTCCAGGCACCGGAGCAAGCCAACAAGAGCAAATACAGCGTGTATTTGACATGGAACCCTGATGGCGTGGAGTATAGTGTAGTGGGTTAGGAGTTGGGCTGCTAGCCACGAGGTCAGCAGTTCGAAACCAACAGCTCCCTCTGGGAGAGCGATGGAGCTTTCTGCTCCGATCAGGAGTTGTGTTGTAGTCTTGGCAGCCTGCAGGGGCAGTTCTCTGCCCTGTAGGGTTGCTCTGAGTTGGAGTAACTTGTGGTAGTGTGTGGTTGGTTTTTATATTTGAGAAGGGAGAACCGGGATGATCCTTATTTGTAAATCATATTACTGCCTAAATGAGTTACTGAAACACTTAGAATTAATATGGGAGCTTACAAAGGTGTCCATGTGTCAGATAAATACCCAGAACTTGTCACTCCCAAGCAGTAGTAAATGCGATGGGACAAAGAACCCCATTCGCTACTGGGAAAAAACAGTATACGTGTCTGTAGGAATACAGAGTCTCTAAGAAATGTACACAGTTTCTATGGAGAAAACGGTGGAGCTTTACTAAAGGACCAAAAAAAAAAAAAAAGCAAAAAGACTGGACAAGATGGGGGAGTGACCCCATGTTTGTAGAGAAAAGCCCAATGTGCCACAGACCTCGGCCAGCTCCACATTAACCCAGGTGGTTGGATTGTTGCCTTCCCGCCGAAGCACGCTAGGCTGTTCTAAAGTGCGATTGGAAAAATAACCTTTGGGAGGACAGCTGAGAAAGTTGGAAACAGTGTGATCCCCTAAGACATTTTCAGGCGAGTGTAGTGAGCTGTAATCGCTCCTGCGTCACATTGTAAAACCCCAACTATACCTGGAGCTGTTTCTCACTAGCGTCACACACCCAAAGGAGCTGGACTCCCTGGAGAAAGGGCCAGCTCCGGGATGAGTGGGAGCTGGTAGCGCCTCATCGTACTGGAAAGGAAGGGAGTCATCCAAGGCGACAAGGTATCCATGTCAGGGACCCACGAGCCAAATGGAAGGAGTCCTGACTGGCCAGGATGGAGCAATCACAGCACGGGTTCCCAAACTTACTTGGCCTACCACCCCCTTGTCGGGGAAAAAGAATACTGATGCCGTCCCCC